ATAAAATTCCTCTAAAAAATGTTATATTAAGCAGGATTAATTCAGTTTTCTTGAGTCATCAAACATATTCATCAGTTTTGTACCAGCTCTCTACAAAAATTCTTCCCTATTGTGATGTTTATCTGAATAATTTGATAATGTGAAAAATGCAAAAATTGAATTTGAGAGCAATACTTGATCATCCTTCTTCATATCTTCTTTCTTAAGAAAAGATATAACATCTACTGTATCTCTTTCAATCTGTGCCATTTGGTTTTGTAGCCCCTCATTTTCATACAACAGTTTTTTTGCATTTTCTCTGTAAGGAAAGAAGACATTTTTGAAATCATATATTTGAAATAACGAGGAGCGTTAATGCATCTCACTTTCAGAATCAAGCATTCCAGTTTCAGTTCCTTTTTGCTAAAATCCTACTTTATACAATACATTCATAAACCAATGGAACGCTCATAATATTTTATGTTAATAAAATCTGCTAATTTGTTTAACACTAATCAATATATAAACACACGATGCGTATAATATATGACAGAAGCCATAATGTAAAAACAAACCTGTATTCTTGCTTTGCTCTTTCTGTACTATACAATTTTCCCTCCCATAAACGAGCATTTGCAACTGCATTTTTGAGAACGGACTCTTTGTCATCTTTACTGCTTGCTTTAGACCCTTTTTTCCTAGATGCAAAAAGAGAAGACCAACTTGATGGGGTATTCTTGGCCTAACTGACATCAGGAAAAAAATCCCTGCACAGAAATTGTAAAAAAGTTAATGAAAATGCTACTAAAAGTTAATGAAGAGCTACATACCCCTTTGTTTTTCCTTTAGACTTTGACTTCTGCTTCTTAATTTTCTTTGGCATTTTGTTGAGATTTAACGATAACAATTTATCTCTTCTTCCTCCTTGAACACACACCAATCAACAACATTGGCCTCTTTTGCAAACGTAATGTTGCCATGTCAACGGTAACAAAGCAAAGCAACAGAGAAGGGAAATGATTCTGTATTCAACATATTCGAGCACCCGTTCACAGTGGAAGCGGACTCACATTGCAATTGCAATTCATAACTCATTCATAGTAATTGTCTAAATTGCTTCAAATTTTTGAGAAAAATATCTTGAAAATTCATATCTATGTTCGGTGGCAACATGCATTATTTGCCTCCTATCCAATGTTATCTTGCAAACGAGATTGTTCCACATGTGTTTGCTTAGGCACTGACCAAGTGGTGTTTAGGACTTTAGAACCAATGTTGAGAAGCTTTCAAGCCTTTCAAGTAAAAGATTCTATCTCAGTTCCGTTACAGAAGGTATGAATTTGTCCTGTGGATAATCTAAAAGCCGATTATTAGGCACTTGAAAGAATCTCCTTTGTTTGTATACCGATAAAGTTTAGGCCATTATGGGTCCGCTATTTAGCGAGCGACATTCGATTAGACATTCAGTTAGACATTCGAGTATACATTCGGACTTTGATTGCTTCTTACAAAAAAACCATAAAAGACAATAAAAAGATATTTCATAGTGGGAAACTTGGCTGGATTCTCTGTCGATTCGTGTATCTTGTTTATATTAAGACGCGCTATGCTTTAAAGGGTAAGGCAAAACATCGAAAATTTTTGTACACGGCCTAAATGTTCGCGTAAAATAGACATTCGCAGTGAAACATCACAACCTGATTTGAACTGATTTCAGGCGCTAAGGAAGAAACAAGTTAGCGAAATCGACTCAAAACAACATGAAACGTACCTTTCCTTCAACTTTTCAGCAAATTCAAGGGAAAAACTACCAATTTCGAACATCCTGTTCAACTAGCAACAAGCTCCGAGGAAACCCCAATCTGAAAACTTGCAAAAACTATCTCCCTAAATAACGTCTGCCAGGCTGAGCGCAATAAGATCAAACTTGGTAGGGTTGCTAGAAATAATGTACTTAACATGTTTTTTTGGGTCTGGTTGCGATTTTTTGGTTCTGTGCGAATTTATGAAACGACCCTCTATCGAGCTCCATACTGAAGCCTTATAACAGCGATCTCGAATGTCTATCTCCCTAAATAACGTCTGCCAGGCTGATCGGAATATGATGAAACTTGGTAGGGTTGCTAGAAATAATGTACTTAACATGTTTTTTGGGTCTGGTTGCGATTTTTTGGTTCTGTGCGAATTTATGAAACGACCCTCTATCGAGCTCCATACTGAAGCCTTATAACAGCGATCTCGAATGTCTATCTCCCTAAATAACGTCTGCCAGGCTGATCGGAATATGATGAAACTTGGTAGGGTTGCTAGAAATGATGTACTTAACATGTTTTTTTGGGTCTGGTTGCGATTTTCTGGTTTTGTGCGAATTTATGAAACGACCCTCTTTCGAGCTCCATACTGAAGCCTTATAACAGCGATCTCGAATGTCTATCTCCCTAAATAACGTCTGCCAGGCTGATCGGAATATGATGAAACTTGGTAGGGTTGCTAGAAATAATGTACTTAACATGTTTTTTTGGGTCTGGTTGCGATTTTTTGGTTTTGTGCGAATTTATGAAACGACCCTCTTTCGAGCTCCATACTGAAGCCTTATAACAGCGAATTCGAATGTCTATCTCCCTAAATAACATCTGCCAGGCTGATCGGAATATGATGAAACTTGGTAGGGTTGCTAGAAATAATGTACTTAACATGTTTTTTTGGGTCTGGTTGATAGGTCTGGTTGAGATTTTTATATCAGTTATGGTGAACCCCAAAAGACGACAAACGACAGTTTGCATAATTACGAGTTATTTATTGACAGTACATTGAAATGGTAAAAAAAAATTTTATCGAAGGAGAACTTACATTATAGAATAAAACTTGTTACAACACTTAATTGTTACAAGGGTCTATATATTTATATTTTACTATACTTTGTGTTTCTTTGCAACTTGTAGCGAAAAGACCTGTTTAACATATTCGATTACTAATAAACATTTAAATTATTTAGATACATCGATTTAGACTACTTATACGAAAGTTGTAGACTAAAAACAGGACTATAGCCATAAAGATCAATTTATTAAATGCGTGAAGTATAGGAAAACTTACAATTATTATTCTACTACGCGGAAATTTGCCAATCAGTCAACATTTGCTTTCAAACGGTATTAATGTGAAAACAAAATTTATTTAAACTATAACTAATTGCTGAATAATGTATAAAGAACGTTGGTCAATTAACAAAATGTTAAACATGAAGTAGATTTTAATGATATACTGCTCCTTCATACGGGGCTTCATCACAGCCGTATGAAACTGCGTAGTGTTGAAATAAATTCAATATCGTCTTAACTAATTAAATATATTACGTTTCTAATCTACTTTCTGTTTTCATTTTATTTTACAATTTTTCCACAAATGTGTCACTGTACAGATGATCATTTACAATACTGCCGAGGATTCGAGGAAATAGGAAAGCAAAGTCACTGGGTTCTATGAGTGTTTAATTGCATTAAAGTGCATATCACCTAATTTGGGATAGAGATTAAACCAACTAAAACAACTGCGCTGAGTTCAAATATCAAATTTAAAAAGCGTTTTGAGCAACGCAAGATCCCGAAAAAGGCCTCCAAAGTCTCTAAATTTTGCCTCCAATCCGCGCATGTTATAGAGGTCTAGGCTCTAGTCTTTCATGACGTAGAAACCAGAACGCAATAAATTATGGCCGACTCTGCTTCCGAAGCATCCAACATCTCGTCAAATCCTAGTTCCTTTACGGATCACGAATTAGTGGATAAAAGTTTAGATTTTGAGCATGCGGGGACTGAAAACGTCGAAGCTGGGTGCTTAGAAGCTTACGCTGATGAACCAATGGCTGATGCGGTGTGGATGCAGAAATAAGAAATATGCTTATTTAGGCTCGTCTAGGACTATGTTGTCGACTAAATCCGTTTTTAGAAAATAAATTAAATTCATTCCGGATGATTTCTGGTTGTGTAAGGACAGATTTGACTTCATATGACTCAGATCAGGGTAGCTCAGGTCTGACGTATGTGTAGTAGTATGACGTAAAAATAAGCTGATAGGAATGCGGAGGGAGGAAAATATTGAAGGCTGATTGCAAAGAGAGCAAATTGATGAATGAATAAATCGCATAAACTTCATTGACGATTCTTGTATGCTTATTATGTCCATCCACATCTCTAAATATATCATTGAATATTCTCAGTACGTTTTACTATGGTTCTGGTTTCTACGTCACAAAAAGACTATGATCCAGTCCCCTTTTTGGCGCGGTTTGGTGCTCGCCAGACAGGGCAAAATGCCACTTTTGCGCGCATACAACAGGAAAAGCAAAAGAAATAGCAAATTATCAATTCGATTTTCGTAAGCAGCGCATCAAGTATAGTAAGGGATCGCAAAGTTTGCAATTGAGGTGATATACACCGTATTTCTAGGCTGTTCTGTAGAGTAAAGTTTTGCAGTCGCTTCTTTAAAGGAAAGATGATATTCTTTCATTACGAAATGAGTAAGTTGTTCTGGAAACAAGAACAGATCTGTTAGATTTGCGCGAGTATGACCAAGTAATCTTTCTATGTTATATTTAAACTTATATTGGAGGCTTGCTACAGAGTCATTATCTGTCCTTACCATCTCGATGAGTAAAGCGGTGTAACGAGACATGATGCGCCAAATTGACTTTCCGAATGTTTTGTAAAAGAAATTATGTAACTCGAAATTAGCAAATTCTTCATATTCCTTATTACCAAGGGTGATAAGGGCAGTCAGCCGCTCTGATAAATTCCTTTTGTCATGTTTTCTTTTGGGTGCAGTATCGTTATTAAAGCGTGTCAAAAATGGTTCCAATTCTGATTCTGCATAGCTTAGAAAAGCATTGCGGAATTTTTTTGATCTGAAATGCATGTCTTCCTGCGTATCGTCTGTGTCATTATCGTTGGCATCGTCTGTGTCATTATCGTTGGCATCGTCTGTGTCATTATCTGTATTGCTATCAGTTGTCAAACTAGTGTCTTCCCTAGGATTGTCATTACTTTCTGCGTCATCTGATATTGTTTCAATAGAAGCAACGTTTTCGTAGAGATCGGGCGAGTCTATAATTGATTTTAGCGTAGCAAAAGGTTTGCAGTTACGATCTGCATGATAATTGTGCTTTGAAATCTCTCGCTCGTCTGTTTCTATTGCACCCCAAACTACAGTGGGCATTCGTGGGACCTTCTTCTACCTACATATTCTGCGCCATTCGATGCAAGCTTTCCCTATCCAATATTCTTATCGGTATAAGGTTCAGTTTAGAAATCTCGAAATCCGTCAAAGTAACCAGGACAATAAGCATTTCCACATGTATATACCCACAGCTGTGTGTTTTCGAATTGCTGCCTGGAGTCCGTATTCGGTTGATGAAAGATAGACCCAGTTAGGTATTTCTGAATTCTTTTTTTTGCAACGGAATGTAATTTGGAAACTAAACATTAATTGTCAAAGAAGGCATTTTCCTCGCCACCGTCACTTGCTAGCTGAATCACCAATGTACCACCAAGCCTTTATTTCGGGGTACAAAGCAATACATGCTCCAGTGCCCTGCGTGATCCTATTTCTCGTTTGGTGAAATGGAAAAAGACAATAGTTGCCCCAAGATTCGTTGATATTCCTCATAGAATTTGATAAAATGTGTCGGTGGTCCTTATCCAGGAATGGCTGTTATAAGGCTTTCATATTTGGAGCTCGATAGAGGGTCGTTTCATTGAATTCGCACAAAACCAGAAAATCGCAACCAGACCCAAAAAAAACATGTTAAGTTACATTATTTCTAGCAAACGCCCACCAAGTTTCATCATTATTCCGATCAGCCTGGCAGACGTTATTTAGGGAGATAGACATTCGAGATCGCTGTATAAGGCTTCAGTATGGAGCTCGATTAGAGGGTCGTTTCATGAATTCGCACCAAAACCAGAAAATCGCAACCAGACCCAAAAAAACATGTTAAGTACATTATTTCTAGCAACCCTACCAAGTTTCATTCATATTCCGCTCAGCCTGGCAACGTTATTTAGGGAGATAGACATTCGAGATCGCTGTTATAAGCTTCAGTATGGAGCTCGATAGAAGGGTCGTTTCATGAAATTCGCACAAAACCAGAAAATCGCCAACCAGACCCAAAAAAACATGTTAAGTACATTATTTCTAGCAACCCTACCAATTTCATCATATTCCGATACAGGCCTGGCCAGACGTTATTTAGGGAGATAGACATTCGAGATCGCTGTTATAAGGCTTCAGTATGGAGCTCGATAGAGGGTCGTTCATGAATTAGCACAAAACCAGAAAATCG